GAGCGCAGCTCGCATAATCACTGGTTTGAGAAACAGTTGCCCTAATGAAATCGTTTTGTATGAGGCAGACTTACAGCTTTTGAGATACAGAGGTGGAACAGAGGCTGGCTTACAGAAATATTTTAACAAACTCATAAGTTATGGCTCTCATAATCGCTCCTCGGATTATCTAGGAGGGTAGAAAAGTAACAAAAGATTAAAGAAAAACAGTCCAATGAGCCTGGCCACGGAGTTGAATTTATTAAGCCGGGAAGTCGAACGCCACTCCCTGAAATATTATATTGATCCATCGGATGGATTAACCTTTTCACGTGGGCTCAAAAATAAGAAATCTAGATCCTCTGAGGGGCTCTTTCTGAGACTGGGGGATGAATTCAAGAAAGGGAACCGCTAATCCCTTAAACTAGACAAGACAAGTGATGAGTGTTAAGCATCCCCGAGAGTTTTATTCTCCCTCTGTTATTCTAAACACCATTTGCTATCTTTTACACCACCGCAGTTCGGGATAATAGAAATACCACTGGTGGAGAATTCCCAATTTCTTTTTTTTAACTGAAAAAGAGCGGGAAAACTTCTTTGGTGGTTTTATACGATTCAGTGTAAAAAACTACATTCCGAATGTCACATGTTGACTATTTATAGTGTTTTACAAACATTCAGAATTAGTGTGGTGTGTCACAATTTCCTCATTTTACTTTTTTAAATTCTATAAACAACACATAATCCTAACCATAGTTCCGAAAAACTATTTATTTCACTAGCTATAAAAAAATATGCCTTTGTGTATATATATATATATATTGCAATGTAAATATCCATTCTAAACTATTTGAAAAATTAAAATCTCTATCATGTGAGTAATTTCATTAAATTTTTTATCCTGCTCACATTTGATTTCTATCAAAGGTTATTTAAAATGTTTTTTTCGTTCTATCACACATTTTTCATCATATATTAATTTTAAAATTATTGTAATTGTGGAATGTCATTGTACTCACTAGTTTACATTAATTCTTTCAATGTAATATCATGAAACATTTCAACTTTTTACTTTTTAAAATGCAAAAATATTATTACGCATTTGCAGAATAGTTAAAAAAGAAAAATTCTTTGTTCTTTGGGGATATTGTTTCAACAGGTAATTCAGCTTTTGAAAATCTCAGTTTGATTTCGCTGGCAAAATTTATATCAGTTATTAAAGTTATATCTATTTTTATAAGCTCTTTGATACCATATTAAAACGATTGGATTATTTATGTTTTCGCAAAAAATAAAAAAGCTAATGAGGTGTAGTGATCATAAACACTCTTTTATTGAGTTAAAAAATTTCGGAAATTTCCAAGACCAAAGGGGAAAGATCTGTTTATATCCATTTTCACATAAATAACGGATAGATCGTCATCTCTTGCATTTTGTGGATTACTATGCTTCAAGTGTGAAATCAGTTATTCCTGAGAGTTATTATGCAGGGAAATCGGGTCATAATGCGGAAAAACCCTTTTGTTCACGAGAAAAATCGATTTTTCTTTGAATCAATTTTTATATGAGAAAAGAATTTTTATTTCGTGGTCTTAATTTAGATAATTATAAATATCTATATTATGCATTATAAATATTTTACTTTATAAATATTTGTAACATTGCTGAAAATTTAACATCTTATCGAAAGATTATAAATATTGGGAAAGAACATAAATAGTTGAAATGTAATATTTTTGTAGACAGGTCTCACTTAAAAAGGAGCATACTGATTTATTATTTTTATTATTATTGATAATAATTATAGAATTAAAAAGCGAGGTAAATGAAGATAATTCCGCCCTAACTCCCGGGTAATTTAAAAGATCCTAAGAAAGCAAGATAATTTCTATTGAAAACTAGGTTATCAAATAAATTCCTTTTATTTTATAAATTTTTAAGATTTCTTAAGAAATTATTAACTATAATAACTATGTTAATTATTTAAAAGTAATCATATAGAATTTTTAAATTTATTTTCTAAATAGTATATGATAGAATATAGCAGAAAATATTTTATGCGTTAACCGAACTCTAAATTTATACGAGTACACGTTTCTTAGCATCTTCTTACAATGAACTCTTATTTTAAATCTGATCTGCGTTCTAAATTTCAAATATTTTTCTTCAACTTCCCTTATGTCTTTTTTAAAATAGTTCCTAAAACGCGAAAACTCATAAATATTTCTGTTAATGTACTTCAGTTGCAAATGATTTGCATGTAGCAATCGGGTTCATTTCTTTTATTTTGCAGCAAATTTCATGAAAAGTAAGCATTTTATTGAAACTGTGTAGCATATATAATTTTTTTCTTCTTTACTTTTTTTTTAAATATAGTCATTCACAAATGACTTCAACTTACTCACATAATAGATTTATAGAATTTTATTGATCAAACATTTACCTTCAATCTTATAAAAAGATTCAAAACTGAGATATTAAACGAATTTATAGAAACTATAACTAAAAGTTGAACTGCGTGTAGAATCAGAGAAAGAAAAATGAAAATTTTCATATAAAAAAAGAAACGGTTTTGTAAAGATAATTAAAAATAGCGTTTATGATTTCAATTTCTAAAACATAGAAAATATATTTAGTATTATAAATTATATATTTATAAATGTGATACTTAAAATATTTATGTATCCTAAAGTATGAATAAATATTCTTGCGAAGTAAATGTATATATTTTTCATCGGAAATGTAGATATTTATTTAAAATTATGTAAGAACATTTTTTTAAATGTAGCAAATGTAATCAAAATTTTAAAATTCCAATAACTCTATTTATAGCACGCATTTAAAACAGGACTAAAAAAAGAAAAAACTTTATTTCAGTTTATGTAAAATATACTGCTTTGATATTTTATTTTAATTTGATTTAATTCACTTAAAAGATCGCTTTTCGATTTTTATTATTCCATATTTTTTATATACAATTGAAAATATTCGTTAAATTAAATTTGTGATAAATGAATTTGTTCAAAAAATAGTTAACAACTTGAACAAAAGAATTTGTACAAAAAAATAGCAACATTAAAACTAACTAAAAAAGTAAGAAAACGTAGATGTTTGAAGGTAGGTGGGAAATGTAAAGAAACTTCCCTCCCCTTTGCTTAAAAAGGTGATATTAAAACAATGAAACACATCCCCCTGTAACTTGATCCTCTCTTAGATTCCTTGCCTTATTCTTACTCTGAAAGTGTCACATGCCCACCAAAGGAACCCAACATCAGATGTGACAACTGCTGTCACAGCCCCTTGGAAAAGGTTAAGGGGAGTATTCTTCCACACCAAACTACAACAGGCTGTGAATAAAGCAAGTACAGTCCCGGATCTTATGAGGCAGTTGGCACTTGAGATAATCAATGAAATCCCTGAAGTAGATATCCAAATTTACACAGATGGGAGCAAAAATGAAGAACATCAATCCGGGAGTGGAGTATATATTAAGACTCCTAATAGCGAAGTCAAAAAAATTAAAATTAGAAACCCGGACAATTGCTCGGTGTTTCGAAGCGAATTGTTGGCTATTGAGGCCATTTTGAATTAAACTAATTATAGAGCGGTATGAATTTTGTCTGATAGCAAGAGTTCATTGCAGCACTTGAAGGACTGGTTAAATGTTGGTGACCACACTAGCATCGCTATTTTGAAATTACTTAGATTGCTGTGGTTCACGAAGTGCACCTCCAATGGATTTCCTCGCATGTGGGGATTTACAGAAATGAGGTCGCTGACTTGGCGAAGCAGGGCTCGGTTGAGCCATTGTATTCAGTTGCCTCATTGACCTTTGACGAGCTATACTCCATCAGGAAAAACAATGACTTAAAATCTTGGAGGGTCCCTCCATCCCATGATTGGTATTGGCCTTTCCTGCGATAAAGCCGACCAGACGGCGCTGTCCAGATTTGCCAGCGGCCACTTGAGGAGTGGCTCTTTTTGCAATGGCAACAGGGTTTTCCCGGTTTGTGCAAAGTGGAAAGTGCGTCCCCGGAGCACATTCTGGCTTGTTTTCAAATTTCTAAGGAGACTTTTGCGACGGACCCTTTGCTTGCCCTGGATTTCTTGAGAGTGTATGGACTCATTGATAATGTTTAGCTGCCGCTAGACAGTGAGGGGATTAGTCACTCACACCCTTTTACACAGTATTTCTTCTTTCCCTAACACCCTCATAAAAATGTTCCAGGAATACCTCTTTTACTAGCCAGCAGCGTAGGAAAGAAGGCGGAGGGGACTTAGTTGCGCGCTTTTGAAAACAAATCTCCCTCTCTTCCTGCATTCCAGTGGAGAAGCCTCACTAATAGTCTTGGTAGATCCTCTCCTCCCCTTTTTGGTGGCATATGGTTTCAATGCATAAATCACTAGAAAAGGAGAAAACGTGTCAAAAGACCTCTTCTTTTTTCAAAGAGAAGATAAAGTGATGAAGATTTGTAAAGTGTCCAGGAAATCGACCCTTCGGGATATGGGACATTACACTGTATTAGTGATAATGAGGTTTATAGAAGAATGCTTGAAAAAATTCTGCCACAGGGCTTATAAAGATAGTTTATTTTAGAATACTAGAGGTGATATTCTCATTAAACTGCTTTTGCTTTTTAACCCAGAAATCGTTAATTGTTGTTTATTTTCTTCGTGTGTTTCATAAATCAACATTTAGGGTTGATATAGATTTTATAATTTTCTGGTAAAAATATTGTAATTTAAAATATAAAAAGCAGTTTCATATAGTGTTATGAATACACCAGAAAGATAATGCAAATGAAAAATACAACGCGATTATTTTGGATCCCTTTTCCAAAAATGAGTTCATTATTGCCCAGGGCATGGAAATGTCTTTTGCGACCACTGTTTCTGATCATTAAGACCAAAAGATAAAGAAAGAAGGAAATTACATTTTAAAACTAACAAAACATAATAAATAAATAAAAATAATAACTTCTCAAAATTTATGTAATAATTTAATATAGAAAAACAAAACATTACAATGGACATATATATATATATATTTACGTACATACATATACATATTTTAAATTACAAATATTCAAGAGAGACCTGAAATATTGGCATTATTATTTTCTATACCCATGTTCTCGTTTTCTTCACTTTTATTTGAAGTGGTGCTCATAGAATTAGGGTCACCTGAAATAAATAAGAAAATATAAAGATATCTGTAGTTTTTAAGATAGATATTAATCATGCTAAATTAGTTAGTTGCATTATTGTAGCTGGTACAATTCACCCATTGCTAAAAAGCGGCTGACGCACAAGTTGGTGGAAAAGCTCACTTTCAATAGAGTTGGAACATTAAAAGTGTTCAAAATATGTTTGCTTTCCAGAGAGGATTAAACACTCATAGTTTTTCACAATGCTGCTATCGAGAAACGCTTTCTGAAACGAAGATCCGCAGGGTTTCTAGCATAAACCAGGGGGTTCTATGATAAAAGCTGTAAAAAGAGATTACGCTGTGATAACAAAGAAATCATCTTTCTTTTTTATAAAAGTAATTGTATTATATTCGTCAAGCATTTTTATTGTTGCATACAATTACATTACTTTGGCCTTGAATCGTAACAGAAGACTCTGTTTGGCATATAGAGGGAAATGTGTAAGTTATCTTAAACTTAAGCTACTCAGTGTTCCAAAAATGACAAATGGATTTTAAAACTAATCAATTAAAAAATAACGAAATGCAATCAAAATCAATGATTTACTGCATTACGCTCAGGAAACTAGGTTTTTCATCTTCGCAAATTGCACTTCCCGCCAACAGGTAGCGCTTCAGGCAGGTGAGAGCTGCAGAGACATTGAACCAGTGATATCCCCAGTCAGTAAGCGAACGCTTGTGAAGAATTTTGATGATAGTGTTAGAACAGCCAATATTCATCGCTTTGGAGTATCACTGCCTAGAATACAGCTGATTTTCTGATGAGGCATAGTTTCCAAAGGAAATTAAACATGAGAGAAGCACAGTGCAATGAAGAAGCTTGGATGAACAGGAAATGACAGTAATGATTATATTGAAAGTTTCGGTTAACCACGTTGTGCAGTACAGTTGCAAAATCGAATGCAAAAGTCTTACAGCAGGTTCTTCTAAAACAGCCTTGAATTTCCATCCGCTTTGTCTGCAGCCAATTAACAGTTTCAACTTTCTTTTCACACCATGATGTTAGTGCTTCTAAAGTTAAAGATGGGATTTTGAGTTCACGACGCAAGTTTTTTAATATGTGAGACGCCACTGCCTACACATGCTTTTTTCTATTTTCTCCATAATAGTGGGTAAAATTTGAAGTGAGGTGCATAAAGCTGTGCGTCCAATGCAATGATAAACAAAAATTTTAAACATGTTTTTTTGTGGGCGCAGCCTAGGCAATGAGAATCAAAAATTTTAGACATGTTTTTTGTAGATACGGCATGTATGATGATGCAGCCTTTCTACTAAAAATTACCAAAGTCAAAAGGCAGGTGAAAACAAGCTAGCCGACAGAGAACAGGAATTTGGCACAAAAGCTAGAGCGTTGGCAGGCTATATCTTTCAAAGATATATTCACAAGAAATGAGGAAAAAAACAGCAATTGTGGTTAAATAATTTTATTAAGCTATAATTTTAAATACACAAAATGCAAAAGCCTTATTAATTTGTTGAAGATGCATAGATATGTTATGTGCAGGGTTGGGGTTTGGGACGTCCTAAACTGGTTTTGGACAGGACACGTAGGTTTTACTGTCTTAAATTGGGTAAAACTGGGTTAAACTGTCCAAAACCTTGAACTTTGGTAAAAGGTAAAAATTCTATAGGTGTAACCATTGTACATATTATAATTACATGTATCAATAAATATTTGATATTTTTTAAACAATTTACTATAACTTATTGAAAGAAAATAATATAATATAAGATGAAGTAAAGGAACTCTTCTTATTATACTTGATACTACACTAAAAATGATTCTGAATCAAATAATAAAATACTGGCACTTGCGGTGCATTATCCGTAAAAGCCATTTTTACAGTAAAATATTGTACCGTAATTTTTACAGTATTATTTATTTAATTAAAGAGGTTCAGTGATTTTACTGTAATTGATACTGCAAAGAATTATACCGTAATTTTTACAGTAACATTTATTTAACTAAANACAATGCTAAAAGAATTGAACATGAATGAAATAAAAGTATTCTTGAATAGTACTATAGATAAATAAACCTGTTTATGACGAACCAAGCACTTAGTCCCTAATATTTTAACCTGGATGATAAGGCCAAACTTTAGTTATGTACTATTGAATGAGAGGACCAATTGAACTTGATTACTGATTAATCTTCCTTTGTTTAAATTGAAGAGTCAAACAATATTAATAAAATATTATACTTTTAAAAACAAATATTCTCTGGTATATTTAATTATCAATATGTTATTAGTTCTATGTTTATTTTACCTCTAACTATTGTTCAGATAAAATTGTGACATAATTTGAGTAAAAGGGTTTTGGACAAAGGGGTTTTGAACAGGACGGTTTAAACCAGGGTTTAAACCGTGGATTAATCCATTCTGTCCTAAACCTTGTCAACCCTGGTTATGTGGATGTTTTCAGAAATTCTCAAAAAATAATAATAAAAAAATAAAGATTTTACAAAGTGTAATTATTGTAACTGCAGAATATATATAAAAAAAATACTAAAATACACAAGCACTATCCTGATATTTTATAAACTCTATTTAATCTTCCAATACAAAACTAATAATTAAAATTTTGCCAAGAATTATAAACTGTACTGTGTTAAAGGAAAAATAATTGGAGAAAACCAAAACTAAGGAGTATTACATAACTTTATTTCAGGATTTTTTTTCTGAATGGTTATTTTCCTTCAAGTTACACAAAAATTGTTTTATGGTCAACAGTTAACTTGAAACACCAATTTCTATTTCAATAGGGCTTGTTTACTTTTCTTTTGAATTGTTAGATTAAAATACAATACAATTTAACATGAATACTCACCTTTATATAGTGAATGGAAAACGATAGAATAATGATGAAATCCAAGTTTGTTAGTGGGGAGGAGGAATAATTATTAAGATATTCAGCGGAAATCTTAAGAGTAGTATATAAAATAAATACATTCATTGCTATAAAAATTAATACAGCTAGAACAGGGTACATAGCCAACTCTTTTAACAAAAAATAAGCATTTTAAAGTACTTCTTAAGCACTTAAAAATTATTTTTAAGCACTATATACATGAACAAATTGAAAAATAATTTTCGAAGACTTTACATGATCATGACAAAATAACTAGTTTTTGACAAAGAACTCATTTCTTTATTAAATTAGCCATTATAAAATTAACAAGAGATTTTTCAGTTCAATATTAGAGGGTGGAAAATGAAGTTTGAAATTGAGAAAATCTTGCAAATGCAGCAGAGTTGCACATGAGAGTGCAATAATCTTACCAAACACAGCTCAGTAGACGCACATACAGACTCGCAAGTATTTCAGCAAACATGTAAAATAATTGGTGCATTGATATGCTATGGACCAACTGCATGCCAAAATGGATTGTGGTTGAATGAATTGTGAAAACGGTGAATAGAACAATGTGAAAAGCACACTTTTGCACAATACATGGGAAAATCGACATGGTAATGAAAAAAATCACATTTTCGAAAAGAGAAAATAAAGCTCTTTTAAAAAAACACCCAATGTAGAAGAAACATTAAAGGGTTATTAAAAATCGCAAATAAGCACTTTTTAAAAACGTTAAACACCGTGTAGAAAGAGTTGTCAAAATGGAACAAAATTTTACATAAATATAGTGTTGACATAAGTGATTAAAAAAATAAAACAAAATTATCTTTTAAAGAAAAAAAAATAAAATAAAACTAAATGAAAGTTTTAGTACTCTATTGAGTCCTCTCTCTGTTGTAAGCGATGGCACCTCATACAATCACACCAGTTGTAGAAGTGGTATAGCATAGGTAGAATAGACACCCACCGTTGCTTCCATTTAGAGTAGCGTCACTGCGATTGGACTGCAACTAAATGGAACCAGGTCGCTTTCAGAAGTGAATCCAGATTTAATTTGGGCAGTGATAATCATTTAGTAAAAGTACAGACACATGACATGTGCACAGTGCACCAGAAAAAACAAACCACCCAGAATAACTTTTAATCTATTGATTGGAACTTCACGTTCTAGGACAAGGTAACTTCAAATATGCTAATTAATAAGTGCAGACAACATTTTAAGTTACGAACTCAGACACAAAAACATACTTTCTCTGAATAAACATACCCTTTTTCCGACGGATTCGGGTTTCTGATCCCCTAGTTATAAGGGTAGTCGCAATCTGGGAAATATGGTCCCAATAGTTTGGTCTGAAGAGACCTAAAAATTATGGACCCTTTAAAGTTAATTTTTCCTTTCTACGTATTTCACTATATCTGGAAAACTTTTTAAAGGAAATTTAAAACATTTTTGAACAAAATTATAAAACTTTTTTATCTAAAGATTATTCCATGTAAAAAATAGCTTTCACTAAATATTATCTTTTTATTATTTTATTTAATACTGGTCGAAAATGTTTTGAATTGCAATGAATAAAATTTTTGCATTATTTTAAAGAATATAATTTTACAGGGCAAAATATAAAATTTGAGCCCAATCAGTCATATAGTTCCTGAGAAATTTAATTTTAAATATTTGACTCTTTTGAAATTCAATTTCTCAGGAACTATTCAACTGATTTTGCTCAAATTTTGTATTTCTCCATGTAAAATCTTTGAAATGATTAAAAAAAAAAATGGTATAACTTACAATTCAAAACATTTTCGACCATCATTAAATAAAATTATAAAAAATAATTAATTACTACAAGTTATTTTTTGTGTAGATTTATCCTTGGGTGAATAAATTTTATAATTATGGGCAAGACTTTTGAATTCGCTTTAGGTTTTCCAGATATAGGGAAATACGCATTGAAGAGTCAAAACTTAGGAGCACTCTCCTGATCAAACTATTGTGACCATATTTCCCAGATTGCAGCCACCTCCTATTTTTAGGGGGTCAGAAGTCCGAATCCTTCGAAAAAAGGTTTGTTTATTCAGAGAAAGTACGTTTTTGCGTCTGATTTTGAAACTTAAAATATTGTCTACAACTATTAATTAACATATTTGAGGTCACCCCCTCAAGCCATTAAGATTAAGTCTTAGGACGCAATGATGATCTTTAGATTAAAAGTAATTCAGGGTGGTCCTTTTTTTGCGCCCTGTACATCTCTAAAATTGATCCAAGGTGCTATGACAGCCCGGCATTATGTTAGTGACATCCTTAAACCTCATGTGTTGCCACTCATAGCAGGGCTCCCAGGAGCCATTTTTCAATTAAACAATGCTCAGCTATACATACAAAGGTGTCATAAGAATGCTTCCACCACATTATAACACTACCATGGCTGGCTTGATCCCCAAATGCTTCAAAGAACAAGCATATCTGGAACCACTTCGGACAGTGAGTTGGACAGTCACTGAGTTTAGTCAGTTTAGGGCTGTTTTTACAACAACTATGGAACAAGATGCTGCAGGGTATCACGAAAAACTTTTATGCCTTGATGCCAGATCGTATTGCATCCTACATTCTCGCAAAAGTTGGCCCAATGTGATCCTTAAAGCCCTTTTTTGCATTAATGATCATTTCCCCAAAATAAATGGTCATTGCTTTGATTTTTTAATCACTTAATACATTAAGGTAGTACTAACATACGTAAAATTTTGTTTCATTCTGACAACTCTTTCTAGATGTGCTAATTTTTTATGGCAATGATTGGAAATTAGAATATTCATGAAAAAGGCCAATTCTGTCGTTTAATTCATCTTTATAAAGTTATGTATAAAAGTGGATGTAGGAGGTATAGGGATAATATAAAAAAAAGTAGAGCTTATTTTCCATTTATTCATTTTCTATTTCATTTAAATGTCATCTTTTAAACAAATATTACAAAGAACTAAAAGAAATTGCTAGAAATTAGCAAAAGTAATAATGGTAAATCTGTTGTCGCATGGATCAGATCTATTGTTTCAACAAAATATGTGAATAAATTGTAAGTCAAAATTACGTGAAATGAAATTACAAGTATAAATCTATGGTAAAACTAAAAACATATTTAATGAGTCTCACTTAATGAATAAAATTTTACTTGTAATGATTAAAATAACCAAGTTTTTAACCAAGTATAACCAACAACCAAGTATGATTATCATTAAGTACATAATTATTTCCAGAAATAATTCTTAAAATTTTGCTACCCCAATAAAAACAACAGGCTAAAGAAGACTTGTATTAACTAAATATCATGTTTACACGAATGATGGGAAAAAAATTCTAGACAAATTCAACTATACTTTCTTATAACATTAAATAAAATTTTATACATTTTATATTAATACACAACTGTCAAAAACAAACTCCTACGGGTATAAAGATTGTTCTTTCCTGTAATAATGCATGGCATTGGTCAGACTGAGTAAAATAAAAGCTTGTACATGAGGATAAATATGGATAATGGACATAGCAAAACAGAACCAATTTTATCCAAAGCGAGGGAAATAAAATTACAAATTTATCTCTTAGAGCCAAAAAAAAAAAAAACTCCAAGGTTTTTCCTCATTGATTGAAAAATAATCCTTTTTGCCTTTATTAAAAATTGGTTCCGTTACAAATAAATAAAAAAAAGAAGAAAAAAACTCCTAAGAAATCAAAGCTTACTATCTTTATCCATTTTAGGCTTTTCTTCTCTTTCACTATCTAATGAAGACTCACCTTTAAAAAGATTAACAATTAATTTTATTTTAAAAGAAAAATTCAACTAACATTTCTAGTTATTTTAATTGAATCTTTTTATTATACTTACTTTTTATTTCACTTAAAACACTTTCAGTAGGAGCACAAGCAGCACCTGAAATAAATATTAAGATTTAAGAAACAAAAATAATGCAAACAATAAAATTTGCCAACTTTTATTAACATTTATAATTCAAGAGTTATAATCTTTTATAACTCATCAATAATTTTTAAAACACAATGCTAATGAGTAAAAGAAATCCAAAGAACATCTCACATTAGAGATGAAACAAGTACCCTACTTCTTTGTTTCGTTATTAAATGGATCTAAAACCTAGAATTCCATACCAACTAAAGATGATGTTCATGCAGGAACTTAAATTATTACTTGTAATATACATGCAACCTTAGGATGTTATATCACTAGTAGCAATATAACTTGGGCCCTCATTGGGCCAATACTCATGAATCTTGGCTCAATAAGGGATCAAAGGGGCATTATTTTTCTAATATTGGCCTTATATAAAACTTTCTGATACACCTGATATTTTATAGCCACTTTACAACCAATATTGGTCTTATATAGAATTGTCAAATTCACACCTAATATCTTATATCCATTATTTATCTAATATAGGTTCTATATTAGCCAATGTAGGCCCTATATAGGCCATTCTAGGACCAATATTAAGAAATCTAGACATCTCAATATTGGTGGTTCTTATAGGATCCACATTGAGCCCAACTGGAGGCGAAGGTAAAATTGTTGCTAGGGATTCTGCTTAAAAAAAAAGTGTTCAGCATGAAATGAGCTTAAATAGTTTGTTGAAACTGACAGAATTCATGTCAGTAATAAGACATATTTTAGTAAAAAAAAACAAACATAAAGATAAAAATTTTGCAGCAGAAAAAAAGCTGAAATTTTACAAACCTAAACCTACAAGCTTCAACGAAAAGTTAAAAAAAAAAAAAAAAAAAAAACCTGCAAGCAAATCTTTTCACATTTTATTTACTATTGAGGCTTACCTTCAACCTTATGCATGGTCTCTTAAAAGCCGTGTACAAGGTAAAATTTCAACATAGAAGATTCAGTCATGTGAATATACCATTAATTCAAAGTATGATTAAGAATAAAGTAGTGAAAGTTATTGAACATTTAAGTAAAGTAAAAATGAAAACTGTACTAGTTGTAAAATTGACAAAGCTACTAAGGTAGCTCTGAAACAAAATAATACACATCTAAGAACAAAAACATGCTTAGAAAGAGTTCATTGTGATTTATGGGGACCTTCTCCAGTAAACTCCTTAGATGGAAACAAATATTTCTTATTTTGTATGGATGATTTTTCTTATTAAGTTGATGTGAATATTATAAGAAGTAAAACAAGTTTTTGAATACTTTAAGAAATATTTAGTTAGGTCTTTAAAATTCATATTGGTATCATCACACATGTGGCTTTGAAATTTGTTCCAAAATTTTTTTTTGCATTAATTTGGCAGCAATCCAACAACAAGCGGGAAAAGAAAGCACAAAACCCTTTAGATGTCATGTGATTAGTCACCTCAGTTAAAATTTCTTCCATTTCGGCACCACCTTCTCTGAATCCCTAATTGTAAAAAGCTTCTCAAAATGTGGTAAACATTCCATCAATTGTTTTCAAATCTTCAAAAGTAAGTAGACCACAAGCATGTTGCAGCAAAAATTTCAAAAATAATCTCTCTGTTTCAGGGTGAAACGGCATACATGCAGACAGCTATTTAATCACTACCCTGTTGTCTTTTTTTTTCTCCACCGGCTATCTCTTTAGACCCACAGGTTTTGAGATCTCACTATATCTATATTGTTTTGCTTCTACTATCACTGTTCAGTTGAAGAAAAAAAACGATCAACTGAGTGATAGCACAGCCAGAATTTAAAGCATTTGATTTTTTCCCTTTTTGAATGTCACATGTTGGTTACCAGGTAAATCTAGCAGTAGTCAGATAACAGTGTGACTGTTGTTATGTATGGGTAATTCTAGCAAAGACCAAGCTGCCTCCATATCAGCTATCAATAAAATCATCAACTTCATTGCTTGAATTTTTGCTATCCACATTTTTGATTGTAACCTTGATTATATTGTCCCTTTTACTAACAAATTTGAAGATGTATTTATAAGCCATTACACTGCCACAACCATCAACAATTAATATGACAGTTGTACTTCAGAAGGAGATATAAATTGCATAGAACAATATAATCAAGGACAGTCATCAAATTGTTGGCAGGGTAAAGTTTATTTCCAATACGTTTATTATAAAAAATTTTTGTCATGCCTATTATCTCTTTGCCTATATAAAGGAAACCCATCCCCAGATATATGTTTCCTCTCAAAAAGCTAAAAGGACTTTCCTTTGGCATTTGGTACTTATTTATCATAATGATTCACTATCAGGGCCATGCAACCCATGTTTTGACACGTTGCCATAAGGGTTTGGAAAATTTTCCCAGAGGTGGTATTTCCGCACAGATAAACCTGTTCAGTACTAATGGGAATAGCAGCTAGTCTAGTGGATTAAGAATGAATAAGCAATGAGCATGTGACAGATCTTGCTTTTAAAACTTTGTAAGTATAGACCATTACTTTTCCAAAAACCTTTCCTTCAGCTACCTCTTAAACAAATTCTTCAAACCTGAAACAAAATGCTTGTAAAACGACATGCAAAATGTTGCTTGCAATGAATCCTGATGGAAGTTGACCAAAGAAACTTGAATTTCTGACCACTGGCGATTAGAGTCAAATTGATAAACAAATCAGGCAATCCTACATCTTAAGAAAGGGCCATACAGTCTTAAAAATATTGCTGCCTTGCTCTTTGGTGGAGCAGTGCCCGACTAACATATTATTAGCTGTAACATATTATACATGATAAGTCCCTGAAAGGTTTCCCTTCAAAAATGCTTCATTTTCATAAGTAACTCAGTCGGTTCCCAGGGTTTCCACTCAATTTCTTAAAAAAATTCAAAGACTTTCAAGGACCTAAAATAAATTTTTAAATGACCTATTCGGTATTACAGCTATATGCTGAAGTACATGTCAACCAAATTTTACAATTATGCAGAAGCAGAAATTGTATATTTTATAAGCACAATGCTTACTTGACAACAAAAAAAAAATATTTATTAAAATTATTAGCGTCCCTACATCTGTGACACAATTTAATTTTTTATGGCTGTTAAACAATTTAAATGTTATTTTAATGATTTTTGTAGTTTTACCTAGTTAAATGCTTATAGTAACTTTTTATTTAATATTTTTTTTAAAAAAATTATTTTTTGTAAAATAAATGACTAGTAAACTTTGTCCATCAAAAATGAAATCTCCCTCCATGGACAATTAATATAGTTCGGTAAATATGCAATAAAGGGCAGCATATGCGAAATCCCTATAAGACAGCTGCTGGGAAAGGTAACCATTCCATTTTCTAATGTTAACTATCAGTTGTTTTTGTTCTCTTTGGTGTCAGTTTTGGATTGTTGTGTTCAACTGGGGTTTGGCAAAGTTCTCACCGTATACTCCGTGGACATCATAAAGAAGGTAAGAGAAAATTATTTTATTTTTGATAGATGAATTTTAGATTGCAAAAATAGTATATTTAATAAAAAGAACTGCCCCATTTTTGTAACTTTAAAATTAAAAATCAGTAAAATTCAAGAACTAGTTTTTGTCTCCTCCGTGGACATAACAAGTCCAAGGAGAAGACACAGTCAATGGAAGAGACAATGTGTTAGATAACCATAATACAATTTTAATAATTAAAAAACTATTTACTCTTAATTGATATTTTTTAAAATGGAACAAATGTGGTAATTTGTTTGTATTTTTAAACAAAATCAATTAAATTTAACTTTTTCTTATATGAGAAGTAAATATTGGCAATTTTTCTAAATAATTTCTGTGATGTTTAACATTTTTTTTCTCTTCAAATTTTAGGAAAAAAATGGTAAAACCAAAATGTAAAAAAAGAAAGCAATCAAATGTTCTAATGCAAAAGAGAAGGGAACAGAAAAAACTTAGAATGAGACAAACTAGACAGAAATTAAAAGAAAACCCTATATTGTTTGAAGAAAAAAAAAAAAAAAAAGGAGCAAAAAACTTTAAAATTTGTATAAGAAGAAGATTTAACAGAAAAATCGTGATTAAATGTAGCTCAATTTCTAGAAATTGATAGAGCAAGCCGTTTGTGCCCAGGGAAAAAAGAAACAATAACAAGAAGAAAAACAAAAACGTTATTTGGATGACAGTATGTTTAACTTGCATAAAATGCTAATAAAAGAGTACCCTCAACACTCAACTTTCATGTGGAGTTTGAATTTTTATTTCAATAGTCTTTACATTTTAATTTATTAATATTCAGTAAGAGTTACCTAAAAAATTGTACACCTAGGTTAAAAATGGATGTTTCCTTTCATAGCAGCATGATTAATCGGAAGTAGCTCTATCTCTAGTAATGAAATATTTTATTATTTACTTATTAATGTTAAACTCATATCAGTTGTACTTAATAATTAATGAATTAGTCTTCATTGACATTTTATATTTTGTAACATAAAATGTCTCCTCCGTTGACTATTACATCTCCTCCGTGGACAAGGCAGAATTTAAAATATTTTAAATCTTGTAAAAAATAAGAAAGAAAACTTGACCATTATTATAAGGACACATAACAAAATTAAAAGAAGGCATTTATGTAATTTTTATCACTCTTTTAATTACTTTAAGAAAATTTTTTAGTCTATTTATACCTTTTCAATGAGAATGACCCATAATTAGATAAAATATCATAATATATTCATTTAACATGTCTGTTTCAATTTTGATAACAAATTATCTATTTTCTTAATTCAGAATATCAGTAATGTATTTTGAACATAATAAAATCTATTGTAGAACAATATTCTACAGATAACTAAGACTTACCAAGCTTTATTTTTCTTAAAATATATCCATAAAATGTGAAAATCAAAATTATAAGAAAGGTGAAGTAAGTTTAGAAGATGGTGTAAATTACGTATCACAGTGTGTGAGTTGTAAATTGAATTGAGGTGTATGTTTCTTAAATCAGAACAATATGAATAGCAAATGATACAAAACGCACGAAATAACAAGACGCTTTTGTTGCATGATTAGCTAATAGTTTTCAAGTGAATAGTGATCATTATGATGCAAATTGCAATTTGTGATTCGAAAGGTGCTTAATATAGAACAGCTATGTGTGATTCTTAAATCGTTTTGATAAGAATTGTGAGTGGTAATTCTTAAATCACTCTTTTGTGAATCGCAATGTGTGATTTGTAAACTACTAGAATAAGAATTGTGAGGCATGATTCTGAAATTACTTAAATACGTATCACGTTATATGATTAAGAAATAACTTTAATTGAAATCATGACGTGTGATTGATAAATCACTTTAATGTGAATCATGATGAGTGATTTATAAAATACCTTAATATGTAACGATGAGTAATTCGCAAATCACTTTTAAGTAATATTCGATACGTGATTCATTAATTACTTTCATTTAAATCGCAATTCGTAGAACATTTTATATGAATTCCAATTCGTAAATCAAGAATCAGATTAATGTGAATCATGATATTTATTCATAATCAATGACACCTGTAGATCTAAATTTTATTTATTAGCAGTAAAAACTAAATGTAAAAATGTGATTATTAATGATAAAAAATTAATTATCCTTTGTACATAAATTAAAAGAACAAATTGTATAACAATATTAACCAGTTGTAATGCTGAATTTAACACATTGAACAGATTTTTAAATTGATTAAACACTATATCTTTTTTCGAAAACTATGACTACAAAATCTAAAATTTGCTAGAAATTTCAGCTTCCAAAACATCAGAGAGATGAACAATAATCTTTTGTGTAAAATCTAAGAGAGAAAAGTTTTGCATCTTCTTCAAGCCCTTTTTACTTTAAGCATTAAGAATTTCATCGAATTTCTCTAATATTCCTTTAAATTTATTTATTATTTTTTACTGCTTTTTTGATAGAGATATTAGTATTATTTTAAATTCTAAAAAATCAAGCACTTTTCAAGTATCCTGGCAGAATTTAAGGACTTTTCAGGACGTAATACCAAAATATTGAAGGGTGTTGACACCGTTTTTGTATTGTTTGACACATTAAAGGAATAACCAGGATCACAAGATGGAAATAGCAAATGAAACACCATAGGCTCAATATGGTGGGACTGTTTGTACACAATTTGGCCCTTAAACTGGTGTTGTGAATATACGATGAAATCTACCTGCTGAGGCATTAAGCCTTTGGCAACAGTTACAATACTACTGACACTTCTGCTGCAGCACCAGATACAGACTTATGAAATTCAAGATAAATACTTTCTACCGAGTGCTACTGGTTAGATTCATATAACAATTTATGAATTGTTATATGATCTAATTTAGATTGACAAAAAGGTTTAGCTATATAATGTCTTGAATAATCCTGCACCCTGTCCTGATATGCAACAGGCTAAAACAACTTCATTTTCATGTACATAGATTTGAGCAAAACGTGACTTTTCTTAGTGTTCTAAAAATACACTTGTAGTGACCAATGCATTCACGCTGCCAAGAAGAAGCAACACGCTTATACTCTTGAAGGCAATTTCTTCAGATACACAAAATGCAGACAAAGCAAAATTATAAAAATCAATATTCTGTCTGAAACTTACGGAATCATTTTTCCCAGTAAAAGTTTTGTCCAATTAAGTTTATTTCTACCATGCTCTCTAGCAAAAGCACTGCTATGATTGCATTCAACGGACAGAGATCCTATTGAGGGGGAGGGGAACCTTCATCTGAATATGATTCTTCGAAATAAAGAATTTCGCTAATTTTTCTAAATTCAATTCTAAATTCAATTTCTACTGTGGGCTTCTCTTTCGCGGGGAATTATTAACATGAAATTATTTTGATAATTCATCATACAACGTTCTTGCTCGGCAGTTCGACTAGCTAGATTTAGTCTCCTCTGCATTTGATATTGTCTGTCACATTTTCTCCAGTTTTCCATTTTATTGGAATGACCGGGTATTCTATCTTTCAGTGTGAATGATTAAAAATAAACTTGATAAAAATAAAACTCAATAAAATATTGGTGAACATGTTTGTTTGTAAAAGGAGTTCAAAGCACAAACTGAGTTGTAATCAGCATCACATAACCATAAAGTCAGAAAAATGCATTGGCTGCTGATTGGTTGCTTTGGTGTTCACACGCATGTGTTCTCCTTTTTGATTGGATGGTTCATGCATCTGAAGCATAAGACTTGTATTGTCAACAATTTCATTGGATCTTGCAACACTACTATTAGATTTTCATGTATGATTTTAGATTAAGAAAATCACTTTTATTTATTAACATTTTAAATTTGACCATTTAACAATCGGAATTCATAGTAATAGACATCATACCATATTTAGAATATTAAAAAATGTGAAAGTTTACAGTGAGGAAAAATAAAACCAAATTATAAAATTTCTTCTAAGAATAGCTTAGAAACAAATACAATAGGATTATTTTTAAAAAATTGTTTGCAGAAAAGCCAAACATATCTGGTGTACCAAATAGCACTCTTTAGAATGTAAAATTATGGTGTTTGTATGAAACTAAAAATAATAAAAATAGCTTCATAAATCACATTTTAATGTAACTGAAAATAGTTAACACATCAGCCCACCAGCCTATAATTGGTTATGCACACTTATAGATGGTACACCAGTACATCGGCATAAGGATGCATATAGCCAAAAAAAGAATGACAATTACTATTCCAATTTGTAGAGCTTGTTTCAGGGCGCAGAGCCAGATTTTTCAACAAAACAATAAGCACCTTTTAAGTACTCAAAAAATATTTTTAATCACTTTCCAAAAAAATCAGAATTAGAATCTGTGCAGTAACAAAAATTATTTTTTCCATTGTTTAAATTCTTAATTTATAAACATAAAATCAATAAAATTCAAAAACATTTTAAAAATCTTTACATAATCATGAAAAATTAACTAGTTTCTGATAAATATTGCAGATAAAATTGTGAAAATCATGTATTTCTTGTAATTTAGAATGACTATCGATACAGCAAAGAAATCATCTCTTTTTAAAAGATGGAAAATTAAGCACTTTTTACGAGCCCCGAATAAAAAAAAGCACCTTTAAGGTTTTTTACAAACATAAATCAAAAATAAGCACCTTTAGGCAATTTTTAAAAACACTATGCACCCAGTTGTTGTAAAACCATTGTAAATTAAAGCTTTATTATTATTTAAATTATCATTTAAAATATTAAAACTTTACAGATTAGTTCTGTGATGTTTTCTATTTATACACAATATAAAAAAATTAAGTCTTATCAATTTTACATAGCATTCCAGAAACATATTCTTTCCATTTTCACCCCTGATAATACTTATCAGAATTGTGTTAGGCACTGAAATAATTCTTAACTGAAATTACCATTATCATAAGCAGAATCTTCAGTTTCTGAATGGCCATCCATATCATCAGCTTTGTCATCCATCTCCTGAGCATCATCAGATGCACTACTATAATCATGATCAATGACTCGTTTATGTTCTTGTAAAACTTTTAACTTTTTTGGAGGAATATAATAACCACTCTCACTTGATTCTTGAGGGTCTTGAGCTTTATTTTGTTCAAAGTCTGTTAAAAAATACAAATTAAAGTTAACACACAAATATTAAAACTAATCAACATAAAATAATTATAAATATTTGTATGGCAAACAGAGTTTAGAGTTTGGATAAAAAGGAACCACATTTCCAAGTATATGGTGTAAAAGTCAATTCCTACTTTTTTTTATTTTAAACTGGTAGGTTTTGTGTATATTTGATGTATGAACTAGTTCTATAATACATACTTGCTGAAAATGACATTTTTATTAAATATAAAAATGGAGTGCACAAAAATGAAATTTCAAAAAAATTAAACTTTACAGAGATTGTTGAATTTTGCAGAGTTGATTTACAAATTGCAAAAAGAATTCTTGATTCTAGGTAATAAGTGAATGAGTTAACTGAAAAAAAATTTAAATAAGAAAAAGCGGTAGTCTATTTTTTTTATTTTTTTTTAATTGAAACTGTTGATTCTAGATTGATTTTTTTACAGTGTTTTGCTCAAAAAGCATTAAAATTTAGGAATATAATTTATGTGTAATGAAATAAGAGATTATTTTAATTACAGATGCAAGATAGACATGCTTCAATTTTTAAAAATGCTCACTTTCATTATGAAAGTTTAATTAGAGTAGAAAAATGTTATAGAAATAACCAAAACTGGAAAATGATCAAATTTTTACAACATTACTGATTAAAATAGAAGCAAGAGTTAGAATAAGATAATAAAAATATCACTCAATAAGTTTACATGGTATGATTAACAGCATAATTTCTTTTTTTTTTTATCTAATCCAATCAAACATTAAAATAAATTTGTTCTGTTATCATTGCAATGAAAAACAATATAACCAACTTTTGATTTCTCTCTCAGAACTTTTAGAATTGAAATTTTAGTTTATCCATTCATATTTTTTAATTCCCCAAAAATGTTAGTTTTCCAGAGAGAGTAGCCACCCTGTTAAGATAGATTTGATATAGATTGTCTTTTATTCCATTATTTTACTCAATTTTATCCAAAAATATAGCTATAATTCTAAACGCTATATACATACATTTGCCATATACTGAATGTCGCTTCTCATTTTCAAAGTCAATGACTTCACTCCAATACCGTTTTCTAGTAGGTTTGATATTTTTTGATTCTCGATAAGGTGGAATATTTTCAACATTCTCCTGGTCATCAAACTCATCGTTCCATGTAACAAAAGATTGCTTATCTAAAATGAAACAAAAATTTTTAACATCTCTAGTTTTGAAAATAATTTACATCATCTTAATAATTTATTTTTAAAAATGGTCAATCTTTAATGGTCAAAACGGTGTTAAAGGTCAATCACTTTTTAAAACAAAAGAACCACTAAATTAAATTTAGCTCTAATAGTTTAGTTTCATATAATACAAACTGTTTCCTAAAATCCAATATTAATGCAATTTAAAAGACATAACAAAAAGCTTCATGACGGAATTTCATTGCTTTTACCATTTGTATAAGATTAAAAATTAATATTTTCTCATTTAATATTATTATTTATATAATCAAAATAAGATGCTATTCCTCTTAAAAATTGGCAGTTTTATTGGTTTGTCTGGGCCTTAGAGTAAAGAGGAATAACTTTCCAGCTCTCATAATTGAAAAAACTATTTTTAATAGCAATTATACAATCCCACAGATAATATGGTGTACTATTTCAAATTTGGATGCCACAACAAAGGTTCAAAAAAGAATACTGAGGATTATTTTCCACAAGTTTTGTTTTTGTTTTCATATGTTTCATTTAAAATGGTCAGACTATTTTGTTCTTGCTAGCTAAAAAATAATGTTTTTAAATAATATTAATGTCATCATTGTCTAGTGCTGTACTTCTCAAAGTGGGAAATATTGTGTGCACTAATTCAAATTTGGATGCCACAACGAAGGTTCAAAAAAGAATACTGAGGATTATTTTTTCACAAGTTTGTTTTAATTATCGTATGTTTAATTTAAAATGGTAATACGATTTTGCTCTTGCTAACTAAAAAATAATGTTATCAATGCCATCATTGCCTAGTGCTCTGCTTCTCTAAGTGGGCAATATTGCCTTTTTCTGGGTACTAGAATTGATTAAGTGGACATTAAAAGGCTCAGAGAAAATTGGAGGTGTTGAAGTGCTCTTTCTTATTTGTTTATTTATTATGACGCCTCGGGGGAACAGTCAGTTTTTGGTATTACCACTGATGACAGAAATCTCCTGAGTGTTGGCAGGCAGTGTGTCTCCTGATAAAGTGCTGTATTGCTAACACACATATCTTAAAATTTTCTTCGTTTTCTGCTATAATTGTACTTCTGGCCTTCTAAATTCAGGGTTCACACTCTTTTAACAAAGCAAAAAACTAAGGACTTTTTTTGAAAAAATTAAGGACCTTAAAAATAGTATGATTGTTTAGCATCGAATATACATATGCAATCAGTGACAATATCAATTATTTACCTTTCTTAAAAAAGATATTTAAAAAGTTATAAAAAATTATATTTATATTCAATAAAAAAAATTATAAAAAACTATTTTATTACAATGCAAGTACCAATACAATTGTATTAATTAACAGGGTTTGCCAAAGTAGCAACAGGCAACTTTTGCCTACCCGGGTTGGGTCTTATGTAAAAATATTTTCAGATTGTTAAGAATTAATGACATGTATGAAACTAATCCGTATTCCATTTTTAATGGTTCATTAAAATTAAATTGTAAAATTAAAGTGCAGAAATTAAGATTCATATTTTTTTCATATATGAAAAGAAAGAAATAAAGAAATTTGGAAAAAACTTTGAAAAAATTATTAGAACAAGCTTTCATATTTCACTGTATCACAATTTCAGTTGTGAGCAATTTTGCTTAATATTCAGTTATGCCAAAAAAATTCTTTCTTTTCTATTAATAGAATGTTACATGGGTATATATTAAAAGATTTAATACTAAAAAGTTCAATTAGAGTTATGCATGAAAGTAGTTTTCTTAACTATGTCATGCATAATTAAGTCATATTTCAAATAAATACAGGCCATACTAATATCTAAGCACCTTAAATTATTCCACTATTTTTTCATTAGGTCTTAAAAATCACATTATAATCAATATTTTATAAACTTTTTATAGAATAAAAATACAATTATGCTTAAGAAGATTTATAATATTTAAACCAATATGCTTTTAATATTAGTTTTTGGTGGAATATATAAATAAAAGGGTCAAAATGATTTTTCAAAGTTATCAATACATTCCTATGACCAGAAAATTGGTAAGGTTTCTTAATTAACAAATACTGATAAATTATTTATTTATCATCCTCTATCATTCTTAATATTATTCTCTACTATTATGATTTGATATTTTATCTTTATCCTAAATTAGTTTAAAGCTGAAAGTGGTATTCTTTTATTATAAAGTAATCCAGTAATATCAACCTATCAGGTAATGTTTGTAAAAACAATATTGAAAAGTTTGGAAAAACATATTGAAAACTGTAAATTAACCATTTTAAAATTATTACTAAACAGCAAATGTTTTATATTTACTTTTATCATGAGCTTTGCATAAAAACTTTTTCAGCGAAAACTGTTATTAAGAATTAACTTTACATAATATTACTAAACAATCTAGCAAGAAACATGGACTAATTTTAAAGCAACCAAAAATTGGACGAATTTTAAAAAAAAGTATATTAAGTTGCAATGTTAATTGAACAAAATGATTAAAAAAATCTAAATTTAAATCTAATATACATTAATAACAAACAGTTAGGGATCTTTTAATGGAGTAGATTAAAATTTTTATGTAACAATCTGCTTAGTTTTCATTATGGATTCTAGTTCAAACATTTTTTCTGATACTTCTTATTTTAGGGCTTTATGTTGTTTTTATAAGCACATGCACTACCAGTAAAACCAAATTTCTTGAATTCTGCTGATTTTAAAGTTTAATGTGGGTCTTCTACTTAGAACTAACTGCCCCCTCCCACAAAAAATAGCATGATTCCATGTGCAGTATCCCCCTTGTCCACACACTATTATTTTATTTTGGAATGCTTCACTCTCCTCATAAAGTATCATTCTAGGCAAAAGGAATAATATATTAATGAAAGGACATGTTTTCTTGCCTGTAGCTCCCTCACACACATTCCTTCTAGTTTCTCTAAAAGGCTTTACTCTCGATGCATGGTCCAATTCTAGGTGATAAAAGAACAACTTTTTGTTTTAAAAATTTTTGAAAGAGCGAAAAATTGTTCCAGATAACTACAGTGATTCTGAAAAATTATGCACTTTGAAAACCTTGCACCAAAATTAAGTACTTCCAAGGGCGCTTATTTTCCAAAATAAAAATTAAGCAGTTTTTAAGGACTTTTAAGGACCGCGGGAACCCTGAAATTAAAATAAGACTACTTTGGTTTCAGCTGCTTTTAGCACTTTTCCATTTTGATTTATTATTTTAAATGTTACTTACTTATTTTGTCTTTTTCTGAAATTGTGTAAATCAGTTTCATTCCTTGATTAGATATCTATATTATAATTACATTTTAATCCACTTATCAATTTATGCCTGGTATTTTCAAATGAAAAGAAAGTATTGTTTGCATGCAATTATAAATCTTGCTTTTTTATATTTTGAAATTATTCTTATTTGATAATGACAAAAAGTATTAAATAATAAGATATAACATTTTGTTTTGATTCATATTTTAACATGCAAAAATACAAAACAAGAATGAAATATTGAAAAAATTTCACATTTGCTCAAATGTATACACATTGGATTATTCAGACACATGCAGATGTTTCATTCAGAAGTTCTTACTTGATTATGTGAATTCACTGCCAAATATTTATTATAAATATCAGAACATTTCTTTATTTCATTCATCTACCTCTATTCATATTTTTTTCATGGATTGTTTTGCAAAGCTTGATCTTGAATAATCATGTAAAATTTAATGAATAAAGGTAGTAGCACTTCAATCCCCCATCATAATTGCTCGACTTAACATCAGATTTTCATACATTCAGATAGCTATAACATTTCCAAAATATCTGTCCCTCTTCTTTTGCTCAAAAACACAAATGATTTTTATCAATTTGGCATTGAAATTTTGTAGACTAGATAGCAAAAGATTTCTGATAACATAGGCATTTACATCACTGATTAAAATAAAAGTAGTTAAAATATATTGTACAATTTAATGTAAGAAAAGGATATTAATTTCCAGTTCACCTAATCAGGGATGAGAGTAGTCAGAAAGTAAAAAAGAGGAAATCCAAGAAGATTTTCATATATATATATATATATACAGAAATTCGACAAAAAAGTGCGATTTTTAAACTTGTAAACCATGTGATTATAAATCCTGATATGAGGCTTTTATATCACGTAAATATGAAACTCTACATCGAATTTAAAAAATGCGAAAATACAAATCATGATGCGTAATTTTCAAATCACGATACATAATTTTTAAATCGCGTGATATTACAACCGCAAAAACGAATCACGACATTGGATTTTAAGCTCGCGTGAATACGAATTGCTACATGGGGTTTTAACAGCTCGTAAATAAAAATCGCGATGTTGGTTTTTTAAATCTCGTAAATAAGAATCGCAATGCACAATATTTAAATTGCCTGAATAAGAATCGCAACGTTCAACTGTTAAATCAGGCAAATATGAAAATCGATGTTTGATAATAAAATCGCGATTTTAAAAATGCATAAATACATAACACAATATTGGATTTTTAAATCCCGTAAATAAGAATCATAATGTACGGTATTTAAATAGCGTAAATAAGAATCGCAATGCACAACTTTTAAATCAAGTAAATGCGAAAATCGATGATTGATATTAAAATTGCATGAACAAAAATTGAGATATTTACAGAGTCTGGACTTGGGATTACTAAAAGGCTTGTTTGTATTGTTTTTGTTTCGACATAATAAATAAAAATTTACAAGATTAACTGAATTAGCAAATAAATATTTTCACTGCAAATCCACCTCTAATTTTTCTCTCTTTTTTTGTTTGTTTTCACACCAGAATACAAGAAGCAGCGGCGTCTGAATTACGAAAATACGAGCTATCCCGCCGACGGATAAAAAAATACGGAAAATCTTATGTTCTGTGCGTGAAATCGGAGAAAATAGCTAATATAAGTAAAAATGCGGAAGGGTTAGCAGCTAGGACGTAGTTCG